ATACATGTAGTGGTTAGATAGAGGGCTGACGTCTAATCATTTGAACTGTCAGTACTCAACCTAAATTAATTGGACACACATAAACGTATTTGTGTATTTGTACGGCTCGGTGAGACCGAAAATCTGAGATGTCCTCAAACAGCTCGCTAAGAAGCAAAAACTGTTTATGTTCTTATGGAATTAAAACAAAACCTCAGCTGAATTAGGCAACACTGAACATCTTTGCTTTCATGTCCACCTGAGCCAAGAACTCTCAAACAGAACCTTTCCACCAAGAAACTGCTCGTCTATGGCTGTTCAGCACATCTAGTATTCGAAAACAAACCTCCTGAAAGCTTCATAATGGCAACAGTATTTACTTTTTATTGTGATTCAACGATATAACGTCAGAGTTAGTTGACTGTATTGATTTTAAAATTTTAGCTGAGCTCTTATGACAATCGAAAAAAAAAAAAGTATGAACCCTGAAAGTCGTTCAAAATCGACAAGTTTTGTAGATTTCTTACCAAAAAGGGATCCGAAGCTGAACAGCGCGAAATAGGCAATTAGTGACGACTCAAAAAGGTGGGAAACAATGTACGCAATTGGTACAAAGGACCAGCCAAACATCATGTATAGTGCAAACGTCGTCGCTGGAAAGATATAAAAAGTAACTAGGTTAAATTTCTCGTAAAGTATTTTGACAAAATTACGAAGGTAGCAAAACCTTGTGGGAGACCCAAAGAGACACGTTACGTTTTTGCTGAGAGATTTAACTTACCTAACTCTCTCACTCAACCACCCCCTCGCCCACTCCGTACGTAATAAACACCTCCTGGTCCTGTAACTCGGGTTAACCTGGCGCCTGAAAATCGAAACGTCAGCTGCCGCTTCACGGAGGCTTCTTTTTCAGTCATCGATTGTTTTAAAACCTAGAGACACTCGGCAAAAAAGCCCCAGATTAAGAAGGGTAACGACAGCTCCCTTCTCCTCCGGCACGGACATTATTTTCTTCTTTATGTTCCGCTTTCTCGCTCTCGTCCGCCATCTTCATAGTCCCAAAACAGTAGGCGAATTACTACACTTGCTTTAATCGCACGTCTGAGCGCAGTTGGAAGGCTAAAAGACACACACATGCCTAGAAATAGACTAAAAGCGCATTGTCCCTGTCCAGATTCTGTATTTGATTTGATTCACCGTGGAGAATACACCCGAACAAAGATGCTAATGTTGAGTTGAGCTTCTGGCGTTTCTTGATTGAGGTAATCGGCTTGTAGCCTCTACTGCGCTCTGAAGGCAAAGACCTTCCCCTCCCTCCGCTCACCCCTCATCTTCCTCCACCACCGCCACCATCGCAAACACTCCTTTATCTCTATGGTTTCCTCCCCCACACTCGCCCGCCATCCTGATAGTCCCAAGGCAGCAAGCGTCGCTCTTCAAAGGATGTCGTTACTCTTCTGTATGAAGGGACTTTACTCGACAATTGCCAGAGCACAAGAATGAAAGCAAATTCAGTCACCTATAAGAAACTGACTAAACCCGCGAACAGACGCAATGGAAAGCAGTGGGTCTATAGCAGGGGTCTCAAACGTTTTGTATAACGGACCGGATTGGGGACCTGTCGCAGTCTCGAGGGCCGGAATGTAAATAATATAAATGAGGAAATGCTAAACAAAAAAGCCTAAATAAGTATTTAACTCTACAAATTTAAACTAGAGCAATAATCTAAACAAAGTAAGGGTAGATTACTAAGTATATTTCTACGCAATATGTTACTAATTATAGGATTACAAAATAATTGTGACCCAGAGAACTCACCAAGCATAAATCAAAGCGCGTTTGAACTTTGACATATTCACACACAGCAGAAGCCTAATGAGTATTAGATCTGATCACGACAATTTATGCGAGCGTTATGACACAGTACACTAAGCACGATATACACGAGAACGCAAAGGAATTTTTTAATACTTACGCAGACATAAAGCAGCGAACTGCGAGTTGCTGGGGCTGACAATGCACAATCAATGATATGACGATTGAACCCGTGTTTTGGTGTAGTGTTCTCATTCTTTCTGATATCTTCGTTTGCACTTTTAAAAAACGCCGCAACCAGTTTCTTTTTTTCTCTTTTTTTTTCTTTTCTTTTTTTTACGGGCGTTTGTTTTTTTGCGTTTGTAGCAGCAGGCCGCAGGCTGTGCGTCGTTGGAAAGACGGCAGCCATCTGCGCGCCGGCAGCAACGCCTCCGCGGGCCTGATCTCACCCGCGGGCCGGGGTTTGGAGACCCCTGGTCTAGAGCAGTGGTCTCCAGACGCCGGCCCGCGGGACAGACCCGGCCCGCGGATCACTCTAAAAACAAAGGTGTAGCCCCCCATTACACCCCTTGTCACATTTACGACACCCCAAAACTTCAGTTGGATGTACAGCGCACCGACGTCGAACTGACGGCCCCAACTTTGACGAGAGGCTTGATGTCGGTGCGATACACCATAATGGACAGCTAAAGTACGTATCAAAGACTAGAGACGAAACAAAAACACTGAGGTTTGCTGTGGGGTAAAAAAAAAACGATTACTTTTTTTTGCAGTCACATTAGCTATTTCAATAAGTTGTACAACTCGGCTATCAAGCCGCTCGTGAAATTTGGTACCGTCGGTTCAACGTCCAATTGAAGTTTTGAGGTGTCTTATACCTGGTGAGGGGTGTAAGAATATACCCATATTTATTTGTGTGATGGCCTCCCCACCGGTCCGCGACCCGTTTCCAGCAGGCCCGCTGCTACTGGCGCAAAAATTAAAGGAAGATCCATTGGTGGATCCTTATGGAATACGTTACTATGACTCTTGGAAAACGCCACACATGTCCCCCTATGGGAAACGCTGACGCTGAACCCTTCAGCTTTTGGGGTTTTTTGCGTTCTCTTTTGGCTTTGTCACGGGGTCAGTGTTAGCGTTTTTCAAAGGGGACGTGTGGGGCCTTTCCAAGGGGTCATGCTAACTCATTCCCTAAGGATCCACCGATTCTTCCTTTAATGTTTTTTTGTTTTTTTTTGTCGTTTTTTTTTCGGCAATGCAGGCTCACCGAGCCTGCCTTGCCGCTTCTTGCGCCGCATTTCGACCAGCGGAGCTAGGCGCTGCTTTCGCTCCTCAGTATCGTTCGCCCACCTTGCACGCATAGCAGCGGCATCCGCTGCCTGACCTGTTTTCGCTGTTCACCGGATTCTCAAGCGCCCATTGGTTTCCGCCCCGTGACGTCGCCTCCCTCTCGCCTCGCCACGCCGCTCGCGCATTGGCTTCAACCCCGTGACGTCGCATTCCTCTCGCTTCGCCGCACCGCGCTCACATTGGCTTCCGCCCCGTGACGTCGACGCCCTTCCGCCTTTATCTTTCACTACTCTCCTCCTCTCTACGCTGCACGCTTCTCTTTCCACTGTTTTGTCCGCAGACGGATGGCGCCAGCCTTTCGCTGTCATTAAGGTACTGATGCTAACGCATTAATAGGCGCTTCTTAAAGGGGCGATGCAACAATGTTTGTACTTTGCGCAAATACCGCTTAGAACAGATCCCTGACGTTAATGACCTATGAAACACGTGTTCGTTTTTCACCCCACGCACAAGAAGTGCCAGAAAGAAAATTAAAGAAAAACGAGCAGCGTTCATTCCCTCAACTCGCAGCCAGAACAAGCGGCCACGTGATCTGGAGCCGATTATATGCCGCCAATGTTGATCATAGCCACGCGCTACGGTTGGCAAAGCACTGGACACGCGCTGAGTTCCAGACATTGTTATGGCTCGGCTATTGTCGTCGTTGCAGCGATTGGACACGGGCGACTACCCGAATGCTTCTCGAGCTAGTAATTATCACGAGCACAAATCGAGTGCCCACGCAATGATCGGGTCTAATCTATGAACCGCATTCAAATATCGTCATTGGGGTGTACTGCGATACCCATGCTACTTCATCAAATTTTGCAAAGGAGAGATTAAATGAGAATGATCACTTTTGTCCTTGAAATTACACCGCAACAAAGGGGTTTCTAGGCCAGTGGCGTTGCGTGCGAGCATTCTCGAGTCCCACTAGTGCCAGTAAGCTCGTGTAAAGTGAAAAACATTCCAATTGAATATCGTTGCACCGCTCCTTTAAGGAACGGCGTCGCGATGCTCACTAAACGCTTCGTGTGCGTGCTGATTCTTATCCCACTGATAGTTGTGTGCCCATATTTATTGCACATTTCACCACCTCCATTCTTAGCCCCCTGTTTCATGTCTGTGTAACTACGTTAAAAGTAATTTGCGCTCTCATGCATATTGTGCTTAGTTCCGTGTGTCATACGTATCCCGTATTTCCATCACTAGTCCTATACCATTCTCATTCGTCTGTTGCCTTGTACGAATAAGCCAACTTTCATATTTGCTTTGATTTATTCCTGGATAATTTTTTAGGCTACAACGTTGTCGAATGTAATAATTAGCTAGATATTGAATTATACTATATATATATACATACAGTATATCGATCTGCATTACTCGCAAGTCTTGTTGTTTGCATGTAGGTTTTGAATTTCTGTATTTGAATAACTATCTAGGTATATTTATTTAAGGACTTTTCTCATTTATATTTACTTGTTTATTTTTGGCCCTCCAAGCTGCGAGAGACACCTAATCCAGCCCCTTAGCCATAAATTTCGGAAACCGCTGGTCCAGAGCAACACATTTTTTTAGGCTTCCAAGTCTGCAGAAGGTGCGCGGTGGGCCCGTGAAACAAAATGGGTTTTGGCACCACCAAGCGTTCCGCATTTTAAACGAGCCCACTCTGATGAATTACTGAAGTATTTGCTCAAATAATTTTCAAGAACTTCACTGTCGGCATCCCCCCTCCCCCCCCCCCCCCCCCCACGCAAAAAAAAAAAAAAGAACTTGTAAGCGTGCAGATTCATGAAAGTTCACAGAGCGTAAAAGATGGAGTCATATTTTTATTATTAATAGACTCATTTCTATGATTACCTTTGTGTTTTGCTTTTACCAATTGTTGGAAACATGTTGCTACACTGCAGTATCCAAATGCATTTCTAATTATGATGCCCACTGACCTGGTTTAATGACAGCCCTATAGTGTTTTAAGCACCTCAATTCTTACAGGCTTAAATTATTGTTAATTTAGAAAGTTACAAAACACTTCAATCTTCTTCAAATCTAAGCATAGGAGTACGCATAAAAACCGACCTTGATTAAGAAGCTAACCTGACCCTCACTGCAACACAGCAATCAATGCCTTTCCGTGGGGCATCAATGGGACAACCACCTAAGCACTCAGAGATAACTTACCAACTTTAGTATAATCCAAGCAGTTTGGCATATCCCATTCAAAGAACAACAGGGGAAGCGTGCAAAAAATGCAGGCGACAAAATGCGCAGTCATGTCCCAAAAGAAAGTGAGAAGCCAGTAGCGTTCCGACGACAACCCGGCCATCAGTTGGATCGTTAAAGCTCCACTTGTATGTTCCTTTAGTGGCAGATCAACGTAGGCAGATGTCATAAGCGACAGGGATAAGGGCACCAACAGCATTCCGACGGTTCGTTGTGTGAAGATGGCTTTGTGTAGCTCGTTTGTGACATTCTTGAAGGCCATCAGCCCGGCGACTTGAATAGCTGGACAGAAAAGTGACGAACGTTTCCACTAAACGCTAAATAAACGAGGCAAGGGGAAAGCAGTAGCAATAATGTTATGCTTGATGTCCCTGCCACCACGATATTTTTCTTCAATATTCATTGCATGTTTATGCGGAAGCGAGCAAGAAGAATTAAATGATTGAACAATGGGTGACCTGGTAAATTCGTTACCCTGAACACCATGCTCCGAGAAACGTGATGCCGCTCACGTTTGCCGTGAGCGACTTGTACCTACGATCACACCGCTAGTGCACTGCAATGCAAACAAGCTTAAATTTATCCACTCCTGTAGCACGCCGCAAATTAGTACGTTTTTGCTTATTCCAGAAACTTTACCACTGTCATCCCCTGTTGGAAGTTCATTCCTGCATATCCCCGCTCGGAAATCCGGCTCGACTAGCACATTTTAGAAATCATTCCTGCCACTCTCACTTGTGAGCTGGAACAGTCTCCCAGAGTCGATCATTTCAAGTACTTGTCCTTGTGGATATAAACTCAATTCTATTATTTTGTTCCCACGTATAATTAAACTAGCACCGCTTTGTCTTGTTCCTAACTTTAAATTTAGTCACGAGACAGCGTTCTATTTTTGTTATTTGTTTTTTTTGTTTCGTTAAATCGCATTATTTATTGTATTGTCCCCTCATATGTAATGACCTCGAAAGAGGGCCCTTAACAAATAAATGAATGAAATGAAAGCCGCTTTGTACGTTAATTTTCTCCGTATGTAGACGTAAAAGCGCCGTAGGTAAGCTCACCCTTGCCTCGCAAAAATAGGGCTGGATCCCTGAATGTGTCGAAAAGTTCATCCACTCTTTTCCACGTAACCACGGGATGTCTCAGCAATACTTCTTCCGTCGTTAATAGGACAACTTGCGTGACTAATATCATCGGTATAACAAAATAACTGCGCTTAAGGAAGCTTGCTTTCTTCCGCCCGAGAGCCCTAATCTGGCACCGAAATATATTTGCCGACTTGAAGCGAGCCACGTAGCTGCGACTTGCATCTGAAATAGTGAAAATAACAAAAAAAAATAGAAGGTTAAATGGCGCAGCGGAAACGAGCTCCTTTCGGAAGAATGCATGTTCAGAAACAATTATAAAAGAGAAACATTATTTTTATTGTAATCGTCGACTCATGTAGTTATCTCAATCCTACTCATTCGCACAAGAAAACGAAGAAAAACATTGATAGGGTCCATTTGAGTCCCACTCTTCGCGCCAGAAGAGATAATCTTTTTGTTCGTGTTTTCTTTTTTTTATGTTTTACTTAACTGTAACGCAGTTACACAGCTACAGAAATAAACCGATGTTCTTCACGAGGAGCTCTAAACTCTAAAATAAAATCCAGTGCGTCTACTTTCCCGCCCAACAATTGGAGAGCCAATCACCGCAACTTACAGAGGCAGTTCAGTGAATGACGATGCCGAAGCATATGTTCAGACCAACAAAGGGCAGTCTTGATTTTGACATTAAACAATGCAAAACGTCACGCCCGCATTGCTTAATTTTACAACTCAGACTGCGTTTTTTTGGTCTAAACATATGTTTCGGCATCTTCATTTGCTGAGATGCCTCCGTAAGTTTTGTGATTGGCTCTCCGAGTGTTGTGCGGGAAAGTAGACGCACGGGCTTCTTTTAGAGTGCGCTGGAGTACCTAGATCGCAAAAATCATATAGCTATATAGTCACTGCAGCAACTTCAGAAAGGCAGGGTGTGGCTTACCATATTCACGCTTCTTGCTTCCTGATTAGTTCTTTGGCATTCTTATCGGCTGGTGCTGCAATCTCATTGGCTGCGAAGCGATAAGATGCACGGGACTCACCATGCCCTGCGTTCCTTAAGCCGTCAGAAACTAGAGCATGTCTTTTTTATTTATTTTTTCTCGTCGGGAATGTGACCTTCTGAACTGAGGAAAGCAGATACAGGCATTGGAAATTTCTATTAAAGATAGAGATAGCCAACGTCGTGCCAACTGGGAGACGCGAAATGCAGAGAGCAAGTCGTCTGAATCTTGCGCAGGAGTTGCGGTGACGTCAGAAAGACGCCAAACTCTGATTGGCTCAGATTGGAAGGATAGTGGGTAGACCGCAAAGCAAGCTGCCTTGAGGTCTACCCACTATCCTTCCATCAGAGCCAATCAGAGCTTGGCGTCTTTCTGACGTCACCACAACCCCAGCAAAAGAAGCAGACAAACTTGCGCTCCGCATATGCGAAGTCAAGGCTCGGGTGTGCGACCGCAGTGACCTTGGCACACCTGAGTTTTGACCGGGCACTCTTCCCACTGGAGCACTCCACTTAGTTTAACCTTGCAGCTGACGCTACAAGTTGATGGGACCGATCAGACCGCGTCAAAAGGCGCACCATCGTGGTGTTCCTCGTGTTTCTGTGTGTGTTCTATCGTCGATGAATCAATTCCTAAGCAGAAGAGTCCCGGTGACTCGCGCCTTTGACGCTGCTCGACTGGTACCGTTAGCTCGTAGCGTCGGTTGCATTCTGGACTTCAGCTGGCAGTTCTTTCTTTCAGAGACGCTACGCCGCACGACGATCTTTGCGTCATCGGGCCACAAAATGTGCACCGAGTTCATCTGTGCAGCTTTACCGCGATGCAACACAAAATAGATGTTGCGTTACCACCGCCTTTGACGCGATAGTGCGGGAAAAAGGCGAATTGTTTAAACGAGCAATGTCACTGGGTTACTTAGGTCGTGAGGTGTACGAACATCCTCGGGCACTGTAGAAAACTGCTTCTCGTGGAATCAAAGTTATATTAGTAGTTTAGCTCTCATAAAGACGCGCAAGTATTATCTCTAAAGTTGGTGTTGTTTTAACGTAAGACGTCCAGTACGGTAAAGATACACAAGGGCTCTTCGGGTTTCCATATTTCGACTCCCTCTGTGTTTTCAAGATTTTTTTTTTCTTAGAAGCTCTAGCGTACACGTTAAAGTAGAGCATTGACCGCAAAAGCGTGTAAGGCGAGCACAAAAGATTCCAAATAAAAAAGTACTCAGGAGGGGCTACTTCCTACTGCAGTCATTTTCCTTTTTTTTTTCTAGCTTTTGAAGAAAAAAAAAAGGTATTCAACGATTACTGTATTTCTGAAAAGAAACGGTCCGCCCACAGAAAAACTCTAGCAGTATCAACTTTTGAGAAACTCACAAACATTCTAAATACGGCGAGATGTGAACTGCAACAGGATTATTACTTATTTCAACTTCATAAACCTAAAATCCCATTTCATCTCACATTGAACATACAAGACATGCAACTGTTCAAGTCACCTAATTATTAAGTAGAGATTGTGTCTTCTTTTTTTTTTATCCCATTGTCTTCGTAGGACAATATTGGTATCGAGGGAATGCGCTGCTCCTTCGACGCATGTTTTGAAACGCGCGCCAGCAGCGATATTGGGCCTTCCGAAACGGTTTGATAAAACTCCCTATTAAAAGCACTTAATAATTTATGCATCCAGTAACTATTTTTTTAACTAAAAACACGACTCTGGTTTGAGATATAATTACAGAGTTTTAGAATAGGGGACCCCCAACACTTAGGGTCCTCCAATCAGCTTGGGACGTCGCACTGCGCGTGCGAAGAACCCATGCCGGTTTTGCGTTTTAGGTTTAAGTTAAGCGCAAACGCTTTTGATATATATATATATATATATGTACATATATAGCGGGAGGCATTTAAGTTTGTTCCGAAGCGAGCTTGCGTCGCTCTCGCAACCGGACAGATTCCGCAAAAGCGCGCGCTTGGATGCCGGGATGGCCGAACGAGCTGGAGTCCATTCATATGCAGAAGAAAATGACGGAAAAAAAAGCTTGTCTTGACTTCGAACATCAAATCATTTAAAACTTTGGCAAAAGTGTGTTGATTTTTTTTTTCGCACTCCTTATGTGAACAAAAAGTGTTTGTTAAGCTCAAATTTTTTTACTTCTTTATATTTGTTAGCTTTTGATGATTTTGTTTGTTGGCCGCACTGGCGTTGCAAGCGCGAAACGCAAGCGTACCACGCTGCGTTGTGAAAACTCTATCCTATAAGCTGGCGGTGCGAGGAGTTACTGCGCTTGGGTCCCCCCTGCCGTCCCAGGGCCCCCGAGTACCGGGGTCACCTATTTTAAACTTCTATCTTAAACGCTAGAACTGTTTTATCGAAATGTCTAGTGAACCAGTAGTGTCATCTATACACCTTTCCACAAAAAGGGTGCCGCCATGTTGAATGTCGCCACTTCCAGTATGGCCGAAAACATTGTTTTGCCGTTGCCACACCAATAGAAGACATTCAGGTAATAAGCATAACCGTCACCCATTCTCCTTTTCCCTCACCTATACTTTTTCTTCTTTTTTTCTTTACTATTTGCAGGTTGAAATGCTTTATTTTTTCGTCGCCCATACCGGATATGTCAACCAGGTGGCTGGGTACGAGAGTAAACGAAAAAGATATATACCAGGGGTGTCCAAGCTGCGACTCTTCGCTCGTTAAAGTGCAACTCGCGGCTCCCTGGTAAACTGCCCCCCCCCCTCCCCCCCGGGCTCCCTCCCGGTCACATGAGCACTTCCCCAAAAAAGAATGGAACGCGTTTTAAATTGAAAGACTGATTGCGGTTTGGTAGTCTTGTGCTACTGCAAGAGTGCTCTACCTTACGTGCAGTTGGACTGCTTTTGACTCAGATAGATCAAAAATAGTTTAAGTTTCGTTTATTGCTCTGGATAAAGGTTTGCCTCCGCCCCCCTCCCTTTTTCTGCCTTTCCCCTTCCAGGCGGCTCTTGGAAGTTTCGTGGTTTCGTTTGCGGCTCTTAGGCCGGGTCAGCCTGGCCACCCCTGACATATACCTTATCTACATGTTCCCTCTCCCTCCTTTATTTTAGTGTTAACCGGCTTTATTTCTATTTTATCCGTCAAGCGCAGTGTAGTGTTTCCTTTTTGGTAGCGTCGTAATATAATGTTAAAACAAATACTATTGCGAGGTGTCCTAATACTAGGTAAAGGTTCGTCGGAGAAGAGAACTCACGCGCATCTCGAGCCACAGTATAAGCGGAAGTGCGTGCAACGCCACTAGTCGACATTCGGAGAATGACAACGCAGATTCTGCGGGAGAACTATTGATCGCTACTAGTTTTAAACACATTAATAAAAGTGAAGTACAAGTCCCTTCAAATTCGTAAAAACGACGGGATATACCTTGACTGCTGGAAGAAACCTCTTCTTCCGATACACTAGCCTCCCTCTGTTCTGTGTGGTGCTCGTCCCACCTGAGTAGAAAAAGCAAACATCAAAATGACCATACAAACATAATCGATTTCTGCGAGTTTCGGGGAATAACCTATACTCTAAAAAATGTTTTTTTTTATGTTTTTCGGATGAGTAGACGCAGTCTACGCACCCGAAAAACATTCACAGAGCCAATCTCTGCAATCTACGAAATCAGCTCAGTTGGCGGAACGTCCGTTTAGACCTCAAAATGAAGTCTGCGCTGTGACATTGCTCAATGCAAAGCCTCATGCTTGCATTGCGCAATGCCACAGTGGAGACTTAATTTTGAGGTCTAAACAGATGTTCCGCCTCGTCATTTTCTGAGCTGATTTTGTAGATCGCGGAGATTGGCTCTTCGAGTGTTTTGCGGGTAAGTAGATATGCAGTCATTTTTAAGAGAGTAGTTACCATAGAATTCAGCTAAACTGTTTAAATTAAAATTCTAGTAACGAGATTGCACCAATCGACACTTTAACTAGCACAAGGATACAGTGCAATTCGCTGTACACTCCTAAAAAGCCCGTGCGTCTACTTTCCCGCACAGCACTCGAAGAGCCAATCACCGCAACTTACGGAGTCGGCTCAGGGAATCACGATGCCGAAACATATATGTTTAGACCAAAAAACGCAGTCGGAGTTGTGAGATTAAGCAATGCAAGAGCGTGACGTTTTTCATTGCTTAATGTCACAACTCAGGCTGCGTTTTTTTTGGTCTACTCTAAACATATGTTTCGGCATCGTCACTTGCTGAGCTGCCTTCATGAGTTGCGGTGATTGGCTCTTCGAGTGTTGTGCGGGAAAGTAGACGCGCTGAACTTTTTTTTAGAATGCATTGCAACAAAATACGATATATCAAGGAAGAATCACTGATTAGAATAGTATTATTTAAAGTCAGTTCCGATACGAAAAAATAACAAACTTATTGGACGACAGCCAATTGCTATTTTGGGACAGTTATGTGGGCGGGCGCATGGGAAAGAAACAATTGGAGATAAAAGAGTGTACACGGCGTAAGAAAAAAAGGGAAGGAAAATAAAGCATAACTATCCTTTCACATCCCTGCGAAGGCTGACGGATCGATGACCCAAATCAAGAAACGCCAGAAGCCCCACGTCACGGCTCTAAGCATCTACTATCTTTGGGGTGTGTTCTTCGCGGGCTCATCCACTCAGACCCAGAATGTAGCAATGCGCTTTTAGTCTGGGTGTATGCACTTTCGCGTCTCTTACCACTCGACTGCGCTCTGATTTTACAATTAAACGAGCGTGGAAATTCCGCCTACTGTCTTGGGACAGTCATAACGGCGGGCAAGTGCGAGAAAGAAAACATAAAAAGTGTGCGCGCGGGAAAAGAATGTAGATGTCGTTACCTGTTTAATGCATGGGCCTTAATATATAGTTACCTCGGCCCTAAGGAATATAACGTTATGTTGGGCAAAGTTGTGGATATAAATTTCTAATTCGACGCGCTTATACTAATAATATATTCCTGCTCATTTATCTGCTTAATTGAAGATAGTATTAAAATATCAGACAAGATGCACTACTTACCGCAGCAAAACGTCTTGCAAAGAGGATATGCAAACGCCAATTCTCTTTATTTTATATTCTTCTTGAGACTCCTCTAACTTCTCCAGCAATCGGCTCACGCCAGATGGATGTGCATACCCGATCGTATACGCAATGGTGTACCTTTTTTCTGTGAAAAGTTCGACGTCCGGGAGGTACTTTTCTACAAGCTCGGTCAATGCTACCCGATCGCATCGCGAGGAAATTGTCAAGATGAGCCGGTACCCAAGACCTAGAGTGCAACAATCGTATCAGAAGCCTGTCAAGTTTCCTTTTAAATAGTCTCGCCTTAGGAAAAGAGGGCAGCATGCATTGAGCGCAATGGTCTTTCCTATATTATTCTTAAACCTATCATAACAACCAGGCACTTGAGTTGCAGTTGCTCGGGAAACAACAGAGGAAACATTCAAACAACCACAAAAGGTGTGCTGCGATTGACAGCGGTAGCTGTTGCATTGTCGAAAGATATGCTTTAGAAGATTCGCTTTTAGTTGACGTTCGGCAGTTTGCCCTATTGAAAGGCAGACTTGCATCACGCGCGGGCTTGGAAACTACACACTTCTTGGCCGACAAACTCTGGGACCAGAACGGAGACGTGCTTAGATTGCGCGGGCATCAGGCAGTTCAGAAACCACAACCATGTCGCACACGTCGCAAAAGTATATTGTTCACTCTTAAAAAAAAACTGTGCGTCTACTTCCCCGCACAAAACTCGGAGAGCCAATCACCGCAACTAACGGAGGCAGCTCAGCGAATGATGCTGCCGAAACATATGTTTAGACCAAAAACGCAGTCTGAGTTGTGTCATTAAGCAATGCAAAACGTCACGCTTGCATTGCGTTATGTCACAACTCAGGTTGCGTGTTTGGTCTAAACATATGTTTCGGCATCGTCATACGCTGGGCTGCCTCCGTAAGTTGAGGTGATTGGCTCTCCGAGTGTTGTGCGGGAAAGTAAGACGCACGAGCTTTTTGTAGATTGAAGACTGTGGGGGGCGAGAAAGCGCCTCGCCAGAAATAACATGGCTGTGCGAGGGGTCACGATTCGAGAGGGAGAGAGTGATAGAGCTGCTGAGCTCTATCACTCTCTCCCTCTCTTAATGTCACAACTCAACTCACAACTCAACTCACAACTCAGACATTAAGCAATGCAAGCGTGACGTTTTGCATTGCTTAATGTCACAACTCAGACTGCGTTTTTTGGTCTAAACATATGTTTCCGCACCGTCATTCGCTGAGCTGCCTGCGTAAGTTGCGCTAATTGGCTGTCCGAGTGTTGTGCGGGAAAGTAGACGCACAGACATTTTTTAGAGTGTAAGGTTAATCCAAGATGGAAAATAAAAGAAATCAACTTGATAGTTTGCCGAAGTGTTTTTGCTGTTTTAGATTGCTTTCTGGGGTGTGCCCTTTGCTTTTTATGAGCCCAATCAGAAAAATAGATATCCCGATCACCCCTGAAAAGTAAACTATATATATGTAGTACAAATCCGAAACCCTGCTTGAATGTAATGCTAATGATGGTGATCTAATGCTCAAGTATAGTGACATGACTTTACCCAGATGAAAAAAATAAACGTGAAGATTTTTTTTTTTTTTTAACAAAGAGGTTGCGTGAAACAAAGCACACAATTTTGCCTTTAGGATTCACAAGAATTTTTCACTGAAGTAATACCTCATTGCCAAACAATATCGCTACTTGGATCGCAAGAAATTTTAGTTTTTATCTTTTATTTTTTATCCAGTCAACGTTATGTTCCCAAACTAATTGTATTAGTAGAATGGAGAAACTAAAAGCATCAGTAATAATTTTTATGGTATAAGCTTTTTATCTGATAATCTTCAACTTGAACTCTACGCAACAAAATCTCTGTTGCATTTATTGATTAAAATATATTTACTTATACATTAAGTGACGGCTTCTGTATTTTGAAGTTGTATTTTATTCCAACAGGTAAATATTTTCCCAGCCACCATTATTAAACTCTGCCATAATAGAACCGAACAAAAAGTGGCAACATACCAGGGCATACAAGCCTAAGTGCTTTCGTCAACGGCTCATTCCCGATTTTGGGGAATTCGCTATAAATGGTCATGAGGAGAAAAACAATTATGAACCCCAGCATAAATGCTCATTTTCACCTGTCAGTGGTCAAGGCTATGAAAAGGGATATGTGTCAATTGAATAATAAAGGAAACACAAGCGTGAAACAAACTTGTGCAAACCCTGACGCTAAATGTCTTTGGTGAGTGTTTGACCTAGCTCCAAGACAAACAAAAAACACTGAATCTACTGAATAGTTTTACAAATGCCAGCATACTTAAGTCTGAAGCCTGATATCTGAACCCCATTAATATACAAAACATATGCGCAGGAAAACTAGCAAACTGCCATTTCTGTTTTACCTCTAAATTAATTGTACGAGAATGCAACTCTCTTTCGTTCCCTTTCAATTTCATGTTTTTCCCAAAACCACGCGTTGTCTGACCGTACTTTTCTGTCGTCATACCCTCTTTGCCTAGTGCTTCAATTTTCGTAACACTCGATAGTTTTCTGAAAGCTGATTTTCGATGGTATCGATAGTCGACTACAAGCTAACTATCGATAGTACTATGGATAGTACTATCGATTGCACTATCGCTCGTACTATCGATAATCAGTCATCGACAATACTATCGATGATACTATCGATAGTCAACTATCGATAGCACTATCGAAAGTCAACTATCGATAGTACTATCAGTAGTACTATCGAAAGTCCACTATCGAGTTTTTGACACTATGGATAGTTTTGGAAAAACTTTCGATAGTATCGATTGTCAATTTTTCGATAGTTTTGCATAACCAGAGCAGTGCTCGTTACTGTTTTGTTTTTTTCTGTTGTTTCTGCGGTTGTTGCTACTGTTATCGTTCCCTTGACAGCTGACAACCAGCAACAATCACTGTAAGAGACGTTTTTGGAAGCTAGAGGAGTATTCTGGGAACTATTCAATCCGCTACTTAATTACCCAACCATTTCTACTTGCAGCATTGCTTTTTTTTATTTATTGTTTTTTTATTTTGCTTTACGTATGCCTTTTTAACGTTGTTGATGTTTTTTTTTCTAATACAGTTAATTTAATTTTCAGCCTTTCACGCAGAAAGATTAAGTCGCAAAAAAAAAACTCACTTGCATGTCAGTTTAGCTAACCAAAATTTAATCAGATGCAAACATATAAGCATTATGGCCAATTACTCACTAATACTGTGACCAGGCACGTAGCCAGGGGGAGGCCCATGGGGCCCGGCCCCCCCTCCCTGAAATCTTCCATTTCGCTGGGACCTCCTCTCCCCCCTCCCCCTCATACAGCATTTTGTCATGGGCCCCCCCCCCCCCCCCCCCCCCCGAAACAAAATCCTGGCTACGTGCCTGACTGTGACCC